ATTACTGGAGCTATTGTAGAAACAGGGGCCCCAGGGCACCAAAACACTATTTTTAAATAATGAGACAATTTTTTAAAAAATTACAAAAGAAATAAAGCAAGGCTAGTTTCCTAAATCTGACAATGGGGCAGATGACAAAGATGTGGCACATGGTCCAAATTTTAAGGGAAATAAGTTGGTTTTAATACCTCACATCTCTAAAATTATGGTTTCCCTTCTCCCTTTCCCTCCCCCACCTGAATCCTTTGTGTGGCACAGCAGCTGGCAGAGTCACCCAGGTTCAAGGACGGAATCCAGAGCCTCACCATTCAAGTCAATGCACCTGGCACTCAGGCCATATGCTCAGCCTAAAACTGAGAACCCACTCTTGTTCTGTACTATGCATGGTTCCTCTTGCATGGGACAAAGTGTTCTGTTTCATAAATGAATTTCTACAGTGATTAAAAAAAAAAAAAGAGTGAGAGATTTCCAATTGTAGCCTTTAAAAAAGCCCTGGAGCCTAATTTTTTCCCCTTTTGGTGAAATTACTGATTAAAAAGCTACTTTCTGGGGCCAGAGAGATAGTACAGCAGGTAAGGCACTTACTTTGCACCAGGCTCACCTGGGTTTGATCCCCAGCATCCCAAATGGTCCCCTGAGCCCATCAGGAATGATCTTTGAGCACAGAGCAAGGAGTGGTCCCTTGAGCACAGAGCCAGGGGTAAGCCCTGAGCACAGACAAGTGTGGCCCAAAAATGAGAGAGAGAAAGAGAGAGAGAAGACGTCTCTCTAGGTAAGGAGGCAGTTGGTAAATGAAGACCACTTAGAAGGTGCTAGAGTGAAGCCCCCGAAGGCGACAATGCAGTTTTCATGGGAAGAAAAGCTGCCTTAACACCTTCCTGGTGGCAGATCAAAGGCTGGAGTGGAATGGGCAAAAAGGCCTGGGAAGAAAAGGCCCTAGGCATTTTATTGTTTTAGATTTTCAAGTTCTTCAGCAATAAATTAATATTATTAATTAACTTGTATAGAGATGTGGTTTTCAAAGTTTACTCACACTCCACAATGAGGTTAAAACCCCTGCAAATATCTAAATATCTTTTTTCTTTTTCCTTTTTGTCAGTGCGAGAAAACAAATCCAGGCCCTATTACATACAGGGTAAGGCCACTACTGCTGACTCGCACCTCAGCCCTACAAACATTCATTTTTCATTAGGGTCAGGGAAGAGGAAAGAAGGTTCATTATCCTAAGAGAGGGGAAAACAGAATTTATTAAAAGTTACCTAAGAGACCTTTCACTGAAGCTCTGAAGTTTCTTTCAAGAGAGTTTTCAAAAGATGAAAAATGAGTGGGGGAGATGCCTTACCTGTCAGCTAATTCAATCTACAGTGTCTGAACTAGTGTCTCTAAAGAAATAAATTAACAGGTGGTTGGGGGACAGGCCACAGCCAGCAGTGGTCAGGACTTACTCCTGGCTTGGTGCTCAGGGACCTCTCCCGGCAGGGTCTCAAAGGACCATGTGTTGTTCTAAGGATCAAACCTGGGTTGGTCTTATACAAGGCACGTGCCTTCACCCTGCACAAGCTCTGGCCCTGAAGTGAGAAGCAAGCATCTCGCTCGCTCTTTGGCCATCCATTTAGATCAATGCAGATGTCTAGATGTCTAGACCGACTTGTCTGATGAGGGCTGATGGTTTTGGGAGGAGAGCACAGGGTCCAAGGGAAGAGAAGTGGGTTCTGAGTGGGGACACACAAAGCCTGTTTTGCTCGGAGGAGCTGCAGGAGCACCCTTCCACTTGCAGGAGTGTTCTCTGAACACAAAATTATAGGATTCCTCTAGCCTGGGTAACTTGGCAGGGTGATCCCTGAAGTTGTCCTATTTGTCTGGGGTAACACAATCTGTTCAGGATTCAGCTGGGTGCACTGTACTTTCAGGTACAACCTAACAGATAGAAGGATCTGTGTTCTTGGGGTTAGAGAGATAGAACACTGGGTAGGGCGCTTGCCTTGCACACAGACAACCCAGGTTCAATCCCTTGCAATATCGTCCCCCAAGCACCACCAGGACTGATTCCTGAGTGCAGAGCCAGGAATAAGTCCTGAGCATTGCCAGGAGTGATCCAAAAAAAAAACAAAATTTAAAAAAAAATCTGTATTATCACCACATCCTTTATTTTATTTATTGCTTTTTGGGTCACACTCAATGATGCACAGGGGTTACTCCTGGCTCATGCATTCAGGAATTACTTCTGGCGGTGCTCAGCAGACCATATGGGATGCTGGGAATCGAACCCGGGTCATCCACGTGCAAGGAAAACGCCCTACCCACTGTGTTATCGCTCCAGCCCTCACCATATCCTTTAACCATGCTGGGGAAATGCCACCTAGATGCAGAGGTCCATATGCCCACATGCCTGGGCGTACACTGTCTCTCATTCTCAAGCTAAAACCTCTTGAAGCTGAATCTGCACTCCAGGAATGGAAAAGAGGGTGGGCGTGTTCCCCGCAATTACCGGGGTGCCTCTGGCTCAGAATGGGGCCTCCAACAATGACCTGTATTGGAGCTGGCTGGTTAAAAGTCATCTGGGGAACGTGTTAAAAATAGAGATCTGTGCGCCTGCGAGTCACATCCAGCACATCTGAGGAGCTATTAGAAGGGAAACAGCTTCCTAGGTGGTTTGGACATGAAAGCCGGATTCGGCCTCACTGATGCGTCATCTTTCTCTGCTCCTGCTGGTGGGATCTACCATTGCTATGGAAACCACAGAGTTACTCGCAGCCAGATGGGATTTCACTTTTCTTTTTTAAAGTACACATCTGATTCAAAAATAGAGGGCATTATTTTTGGAAGAGATGTGTTTTCTCTCTCAAGATACTCAGAAAGGCAAGGCAGAGCCCTCACCAAGGCAGAAAATTCTCTCATCAGAAACCAAATTCAGCAGGAAGCAGGCACCCCTCATGGTGTTCCTCCAGAGAAAGCGTCTCAGTGATTTCCTGAGGCATGTTCCAATGTGAGGGGTCGCCTGGCAGGAGGCTCAGGCTCACGGGCCTCCTGAGGAGTCTGAGGAGCGCATGGGGCGGGCCACACTGGCATCAGGATTCTGCAGCTCCAGCTGGAGGCAGACCTGGAAGAGGACAACTGAGAGAACACACTTCCAGACATGCAGCTGACCAGGCTATGTTGTAATAATCCCCACTGATGTCCTGTGACAGGGCTGAGGAAAGTCTGAGGGCTCAGGCACTAGAGGCAGAGGGACGGAGGTTTGGGGGAGGGGTGCAGAGAAGGCTTCTGCAGTTCTGTACTGCAAAGGTGGCCTAAGGAATTCAGAGCTTAGCAATTCTGAGTTCTCCTCTCCTGCAGCTTACAAAGAAAATTCTAGGTGGCAGAGAGAGAGAAAAAGAGAGAGAAAGAGAGAGAGAGAGAGAGAGAGAGAGAGAGAGAGAGAGAGAGAGAGTACAGTAAGGCCTATGCCTTGTCTGTAGCCAACTCCAATTTGATCCCCAACACCACCACATGGTCCCTTGAGAACCTCCAGTGTGGCCCAGGTGATCTCCCAGCCACCAGCTCGGCTGGCTGAGTATCTCCAGGAGGAGCACCCCCACCCCCACCCTAGCCCACCTAAACGTGCATCTTCAACAGAAGGCTCCCAGACATCACTGCTCTTTCAAAACCCTGATGTATCTCCTTGAGGTACCAAAGCAGAATTTCCTCTGCAAAGACATTGTTCCTGGTATCTTAGGGGGTGGGGTCCCCGCATGCAGCAGCTGCAGAGAGCAAGTTACAGGCTGCTGTCTGCACCCAGTCCTAACTGTCTGCACCCACCCACTTTCTCTGGGACCTGGGCACCTTCTTTTGGATCTACTGAGTAACAGTGGAAGTAAGAGTGGTAGGAGCCGGTCCTTCTCTGAAACAGGAATTCCTCCTATTTGCTCCTTATCTTCCTCGCTCAAGCTCTGTCTGCTAGCCTAGAGGAGGTTTTGTTTTTTTGTTTTTTAAATAAACACACAATCTTGGGTTTTTCTCCCAGAAATATCTTCGCATTTCAGAGGCACAGAAAAGCCAAACCAGCCACGTAGCCCCTGTTGGCTGTCAGCACCCTCCTTCCTGCCACATGAAATCCACAGAGCACCAAGATTTCTATCAACCCTCTTCAAACCCTGAGAGGGCTCCAGCCACATTTCTCCAATTCTCACATCCCTGTCCAAACTAAGCGTCTCCCGCTGCTAATACAACAGATCCACCAAACACTGGCTTCCCTCCCAGCTCTATATTGGGGTTCAGAGAAGCGTTTGTCAACAGGACACATCGAATCTGTAAATGTCTCCCAGGGTCCCTGCTTGAGACCGAGCACACTGGAAGATAGTGACATGAGGATGAGATGCCGATATGAGAAGCAGCAGGTGGAAACCCAGGACTTGAGAAGAGGTGTGGGCTATAAAAGAATGGGGACTAATGCACTGTATGTCACCAGCCCTTGCTCTGTCTCATACCCCACATCTGGCTGGCACCACCTCCCCGCTGTCTGCACCCACCAACCTTCTCTGGAACTTGGGCACCTTCTTTTGGGTCTAGTGAGATACATGAACACAGGGACACCTCTCCACAGCCAGTCTCTCACCTGGGAAGTTGCAGAAAAGTGTTCCCTCCCTCCTCTCTTACCCCTTACCCATAGGCTTTAGGTCAAAGTCATTTAGAGTTTCTTATCCTGGTACCTGTAGATGAGATTCAAGGCTTCTGGGAACCTCTTAAAAGTATATAAATTACGTGTGTGTATATATGCGTGTGTGTGTCTTTGTGTCCCAAATTTTCTGAAGCAAGAATCACTGGATGTTTCCCCACCAATTTCCAAAGGTACTCCAGGAAACAAAGGACTCAAACCACCCTCAGAGACAGGAAGTGAAGCGCCCATAAAGGAACCACTGATCAGGCTTTCACCAGTACAAGCTGCATGGCCGATCACCAGGGCAGCCTGCGGGGACCAAATGCTCATGCAGTCACAGCTCAGAGACCAGCCAAGTTAGTACCTTGGAAGCAGCCATCACCGCTGCTGTGGCCGCCACGTTCAAGCCCCGCTTTCCGAAGTGCACCAGGGCATCATAACTTTTGTCTTTTGCTTGGACTAGGCAATCGTCGATTTCCTGTCAAATGGAAAAGAGAGGCACAGTGAACTGCAAGAGTCGATGAAATCTCTCTTCTTCCTCCCTCCTGAGTGCTGGGCTTGGCTGCCTGCTCCATCACTGATTCTCACAGAGATTCTGGGTGTGTGTATGTAGAGAAAAAAAGGGTGAGAAGAGATGTGGGGGGTAGAAAAGAAAATCTGCAGGGGGTGCAGGTGGGTGCTGGGAGACAGTACAGCAGTCAGGCTTTGCCAGCAACTGCCCCAGGTGCACTCCATGCCTGGCACCCTGCACATCACTGGGCATGGTCCACGAGGCCATAGCCTATCTTCATCAAATCCTCCCCAGAAAAGCGAGAAAAAAGAATTTTAGAGAAAAAGCAGGATTTTTGTTTGTTTGGGGTTTTTTTGCTTTTTTGATTTTGGGGTCATACCCGGCATGATGCTCAGGAATCACTCCTGGTGGTGCTTGGGGGACCCTATGGGATGCCAAGGTTTGAACCCAGGTCAGCCACATGCAAGACAAACACCCTACTCGTTGTACTATCACTTCGGCCCTCAAAACAAATTTCCTGACCCTGAAAGCATTTCTAAAGTCCTCTGTTCTTCTAGGGAGGCTCCAGAGTGCCTGAATTGAGACCCTCCTGCCCTTCCACACATGGCCATCCCATCAGACAATGAGGGAACTAGGAAAATATCCCCAAGAGCCCAGCATCTAAGCCCACACCTGTCACAAGCTGGGGGCCAGGCTGTGGTCAGTGCTGAGCCTTGACACAGTTTTGTCTTCTGGATGGAACAGTGATGGCCCTAAGGCAGGTAGCACAGCGAGCAGCATATGAGATCATTCTGCTGAGCAGAGGTTCCCAGAGTTATCTGGTTCACCACTCTTGCCCCTTTTTTTTGGGGTGGGGGGGTGCAGTGGTCAGGGGTTACTCCTGGCTTCTTCACTCAGGAATTACTCCCAGTGAGCTCAGGGGACCATACGGGGGCCAGGGATGGAACCCAGGTTGTCCACATGCAAGGCAATTGCCCTACCCGCTGTACTGTCACTCCAGCCCTGAAACCTCTTATTTAAAAATAAACAAAAGTTACTAATTGCGCTTCATCTGCCTTCTTTAAGGGAACCACCCCAATCAGCCCCTATCAGCACCATCACCCCCAACTTGGCCTAGTGTCCCCCAGGGGGTGATTTTTTCACTGTGGGAAACACTAGAGTCTCCAACTTTCAGGAGAACCTAGAGTGCTCCTGAGTTTAAAAAGGCATATAATTAATGAGTTATACAATGTTGGACCCAAATAATTCCATCCATAGGCATTTAAGATAATACGTCAAAAGAAGGAACTAAGCTCCTTTCACATGGTGGTGGTCTGGATCATCATGAAAATAGCAGAAATTGATTTTATTCATTCATGTTAAAGTTCTCAGAATGAAATTATGATCTGATTTATTTTTGTTTAAGGATTTGGGGATACATTAAAAATTTATTTTAAAAAACAGGTTAATGGACTGGCAGGCACAAAAGGTCATCAAATTTGTAAAATCAAAGCAACTGTTCATTTTATTTTAGTTATTAATTTTGGTTTGGGGGCCACACCATCTGTGCTCAGGGCTTACTCCTGGCTCTCTGCTCAGGGATCATTTTTGGCAGCTCAGAGGTCTAGGGTGCTAGGAATCAAACCCAGACTGGCTGTGTGCAAGGCAAGTGCCTTACCTGCTGTACTATCTTTCTGGTCCCAGCAACTATTCATTTTAATTAGCTTGTTTCTATTGTATGGTAGGTCAAAAAAAATAAAATAAACAATTCATTGAGAGAAACAATTACTGAGAACAAAACTGGTGAAACAGTTTGAATAAAGATGCTAAACAAAAATATAATTTTATACAGTGACATTTTTAAAGATCTAAAAATTAATTTTATCTTCAAAAGATACATATTATAATTCTTACTTGAATTTTTATTATTGACCCTTTCCTTAATTTCTCCCAGGCTTATTTTCTCTTAACTCTCACATGAGACAAAAAAAGTTCATTTCACAGATGCTTGTGAACTACTTTAAAGGTGAAAGACAAAAATTACAATGACTTCTCGTTATTTGCTGTAACTGTTATCATACTGATCGATAATCATTACGACTTATGGACTGATAATCACCACAACAGCAGTAGTTTGTTGACAGCATACATTTTATCATTGAACAAGGAAGCAAATGTTGTACAAGGAATCTACAATATTCTAGTCTCACTCATGAAAGTAGTAGACTTGGTTCAAGTCATTTCATCTCTCTATGCTTCACTTTTCCTACCTATGTAAAATTTTCTGGTTGTTGTTTTTTGTTTGTTTGTTTGTTTGTTTGTTTTGTTTTGAGGGGCTTCCAAAAGAAAATAACCTGATCTTTTCATGGATCGCTTTTTTTTTTTTTGGCCACACCCAAGCAATGCTCAGGGATTACTCCTGGTTCTGCACTCAGGAATTACTCCTGGCGGTGCTTAGGGGACTATATGGGACGCCAGGGATGGAACCCGGGTCAGCCGTGTACAAGGCAAACACCCTCCCCGCTGTACTATCATGCCAGCCCCATGGATCACTTTTTAAGTTTTTTTTTTTTTAACTTGTTTGGAGAGCTTGTTTGGAGGTTCTAGCAGGGGAGTGCAGCTACTCGTATACCCTCGACCGAAGACCGAAGACCGGTCCGTCTCTACTGGGGGAAGGCCGTCCTCTCTGACCGAGCACGCAGCTTCGGGAGGGACGCACATGGAGCGGTGAAGGAGGAAGGGGACATCCGTCTAGCCAGCCAGATCAGCAGAATCAACCCTGGCGATCAATGGGGTGACAGATGTCGCAGCCAGATCGCCCTCACATCCTCGAGCAACTTGTTTAAGGAAGGAAATGCAGCACAGCACCAATTACCTTTTCTTTTGAAGACAGTGTGGGATGTACAAACTTCCTATACAGGAGACTGGAGCCTTTTGTGTAGGGGGACAGCAGCCAGGCTACAAATGCTATCTTTAGTTCATAATAGAAAGGAAACCTAGAGGGGGGAGGAGAAAAGACAGGCTTCATTAGTCCTCAGAGGCATGATGATGAGGGGCAGAGCAGGAGATTTCCCCCCTTCTCTCTCTCCTTTTCTCTCTCTCTCTCTCTCTCTCTCTCTCTCTCTCTCTCTCTCTCTTTCTCACCTCTCCTCTCCTCTCCTCTCCCCTTTCTTTCTCTTGCTTACACAGGAGAGTGCGCACACACAGCACAGGTACAAGGCCTCTTGGGAAAGCTGGCTCCTGTTTCTTTTGTGGTCAAATCCAACCAGAAGCCAGGCTCTCCCCAAGGTTCACCCGGGGTCATGCCTGGCAATGCTTCCCGTGGGGCTACACTCATTCAAGATGGGGCTCCCACCGTGGCCTGCAGGTTCAGAAAGTCACAGCAACCACCCAGTCCTACTTCCTTCACTTGTGGCCCAGAAGGCACCTGGACAATTCACTGCAGAGCAGAGGAGAGCAAAGCTCTTCACTGAGAAGCCTCCTTCTCCTGCCTGTCCTCTTGGCTCCGGAAGAGGCAGGGACAGGAGTCAAACTCATGCTGGGAACGAGGGTGCTGTGCACCCAGCTCAGGTCAATAGCAGCCAGACAGATCTTGACTTCAGGGTATCAAAAGAGTTCAGAACAAGATGTGACTTGGTGGGGATCCTGAGTTGCTGCTCACGAATGGCTCCTCCAACTACTTATCATGCTCCTTAACGGCCATGATCCTAGAGGCACACAAACCAATCTTGGAACCCAGCAGCTTTTGGCAGAAATCCTTCCAGACTTAATTACTAACATATCAGAATTCCAAAATCGCATGGCTGCTATCAACATCATATGCTCTTCATAATTAGCAATAGAAAACAAACTATCTAATGATGCCTTTTCGGCTGGTCTGATTGTGGGGGAAAATTTGAAATAATAATGGTGGGTCTTTTGTCAAAATACTGAATGTAATCAAAGTGGAGAGAGAGTAAAGTAGAAATTATCTGCCACACAGGCAGGGGGAGGGGTGGGATGGAGGGTATACTGGGGTTCTTGGTGGTGAAAAATGTGCACTGGTGAAGGGATGGATGTTTGATCATTGTATGACCAGACTTAAACCTGAAAACTTTGCAACTGTTCTCACGGTGATTCAATAAATAAAATAATAAAATAAAATAAAAAATTTTTAAAAAGATGCGACTTGGTGGTAAAGTACATGCCTCACCTATAGGAAAGTGCTAAGCATCAAAACAAATAAACCAAATTTTTATCTCCCCACACAAAAAATAAACGAATAGAAAGGGGGGAAGGTATTTAGGATGCAGATAGCATCAATTCTGGAGCTTGAGGTCCTGCACACGGTTCAGGCCACACACATGTACCAGCCCCTATATTGGCTGATCACTGATTCAATGTTGAGCCAGGATACCAAATCCCCACCCCCTTGGAGCTTCCAGTCTACTGGGAAGTACAGACATGATTTTGGAATTCTTGAAACAGAGGGTAAGTAGCCAGAGATGAACTGATCTTCACAAATAATATAGAACAGCAACCCACGACCTATGTCATGAAAAGGTCTCTGTGCGGTCCCTTTGCACATTCCAGTCAGCCAGCCCCATCTCTGGATGCAGTCCCAGAGCACAGGGCTTGCCAGTAGGGCATTCTCGGAACTTCAGCCGCATTCGCCTTGAGCAGAGGGCTTGCTCCATCCATACCACGTCTGCACTCCTAATGCACACTTTAACAACGCCTTTCCATTTTCTATATGGGGGAGGGGTGCAATGACATCTTGGGGCCACGTTTACTTCGGAGAGCCTGCCGATTTCTGAAGACAGGAAACAATGCCCTAGATAGCAAACCTTGGACAGGCCAACCAGAGCTCATGACCCCCACACTCTCAACAGCTCCTTCACAGAGCTTTCACACTCACATTCTCCTCACCAGCCACTGGCTCTAAGTATCCCAGGCCAGTTACCAGACCACAGATACAGCCCCCATAGTCAAGCGGGGCCTATGGAAATGATTCAGGCTAGGCTGTCTGAAACCCGCTCACCTTGCCTTGGGGGTGCTTTCCACAGAAACCACAGTGTAGATAGACTCTTGCCCACCTTCCCACCCCTTTCTTCTTGATCTGCTTAGGGCCCTGTGTGGCCTGCAGTATCTCCTATTTCTAGGGATCAGCAAAGAGAAGACACTCTATCTTTCCTTGGATGTGTCAAACTGGTCCCAAATAAAACGAATCCTGGGTAGCCTGAAAACATGATTCTGAGGTAAACCAGAACTGTGCTCGTCTGGAAAGATCAGAAATATAACTCTTCCAAGGCATCCTCTTCAGAAAGAAAGTCTAGTGAAAATCCTGTTCATTTCAGGACCCCTTACCTGTCCCCTGCTCCCCTCACCTCCCCAACCGTCAGACACTAGGTCCCACTCCTTCCCTCATCAAGGTCTCATAGTTGGCTGCCACTGCTGCAGGCAGGCTCTTCCTGAATGAACATTCCCTCCACAGCGAGAGGATAAGCTCATGTCTAAATTGTTTAAAATTTCACAGCCAGAGAAAAGAAGAGCCTGGAGGAGAAGAACGCATGATTCTCCCACACTGGAACACACTGGTGCTTATACTGGAGCAAATTTGTCTTGAAAACAAGTATTTGCCAGTCCCAGGGGGAAAACAAATGAATCTGGCAAGCACAGGCACTGACCCAAGGTAGAGGCAATCCCATGAGAATCTGCCACACTGCAGCTCTTTTATTATGTAAGAAGCATTTTCCCTCAGAGGCAATACACATACACAGTTTAGAACTCTGAGAGGGGGATGGAGAGATAATAAAGTAGGTATGGTGCTTGCCTTGCATGTTGCCAACCTTAGTTCAATCTCCGGCATCCCATATGGTTCCCAGAGCCCCACTAGAAGTGATCCCTGAGCACTGAGGCAGGAGGAAGCCTTGAGCACTGTAGGGTGTGCCCCTACCCTCCATCTCCCCAAAAAGAATGCATTTCTTTTAACAGCAATATCTCTAGGGAGAGGAACCAAAGGCCCAGGGGAAGACAAAATGTACTCTTTACTTTTAGTGTGCTATTTTACATTTCAGTGTACTGTTTCAATTTTACATCATCCTGTATGTTTATTATTTTATACTTTCTGAAAACTTAAGTGAAACTGGGGTTGGGGATGTAGCACAAGTATCAAAGCACAAGCCTGACATGTCCAAGGCCTTTGGTTCCATCCTGACACTACATGAGGCCCCTGCACCCTCGCTGGTCCAGCATGGCACTGCTGGTCCTGAGCAGCATAGGGTGTGACCCTGAAGACAATCAACAAGAGAGAAATGAAATCATCTACACTGACTGAAACTTCAAGTCCAGCCCCAGGGCCTTGGGAAGACTGAGGAGGGCCCAGAAGTCCTGTGTCCACTCCCGAGGACTCAACTCCAGCAGGCCTGTAGGGGTTTGGGTACAGGCAGGATGACACAAGCATACAGAAGTATGTCATCAAGATTCTTTCCCTCGGCTGGAGGCGGCATCAGCCGAGACGGTCATTTCTCCCAGTGCAGATGAAAGTCAGAGAGAAGAGCTACCTACTAAGATGATGAAGGCAACTGACCCGAAACGGGGTTGAGAGAAGGGGTGCTGGGGTCTGTTCTTTGGCCTTGGATGACCTGGAGAGCAAGTGCCTAAGAGCTCCTCTTGGAAATACTGGACATACTGATGTACTGGAAATATTTTCCCAGTGGTGTATATGTGATGGTGGTAAAACATTCCAACACCACAGCAAATGCAAAACCAACCCCATAATCCCAAGTTACAAAAGCATCCCTGGTTAACTCATGGATTAACTCAAACAGTTCCCCTGTACTGCTTTCAACACACATTTACATGTGCACAAACTTGGGCTCTTCAAGTGTTAAGGGAGGTACTATATATTATTCACAGTTTCCTTCTTCTGAAAGGAAGAACAGGGTGAGAGAAATAGCTCAAGGGGCTGGAGCACAAGCTTCGCATGCAGGAGGCCTGGAAGCCATCTTGGACTGTACATTCCCCCAGGAGTGATCCCTGAGCACAGAGCCAGGGAGAAGCCCTGATAATTTGTCAGGTATACCCCTCCCAAGAAAAAAAAAAACTGTCATCACTGTCATCCCATTGTTCTTCTATTTACTTGAGCGGTTGCCAGTAACGTCTCCATTGGTCCCAACTCTGAGATTTTAGCAGCCTCTTCTTACTCATCTTTCCCAACTTATTGGAGGCTCTTTCAGGGTAAGGGGAATGAGACTCATTATTATTATTATTATTATTATTACTGTTTTTGGCATATCGAATATGCCATGTCTAGCTTGCCAGGCTCTGCCGTGTTTGCTGGGCTCTCCGAGAGGCATATATATATATCACTATCACTGTCACTGATCTCCCGTTGTTCATCTATTTGCTTGTGTGGGCCCAGTAACATTGTGAGACTGGTTACTGTGTTTGGTATATATATATATATATATAAATATATGTTTCTATCAAATATGGTGTGGTAATTATGGAAAATGGGTAAGGAGTGTATTATGATGTGTTGTGTGGCCTCAAAAGCAGCCGCGCGGTCCAGGAATATGTTCACTCATATGTGAGGCTACATGGTAGAGCACATGCCTTGCATGTATGAAGCCCTGTGTCCAATCCCTGGCACTGAAAATTAAAAGTAAACAATAAATAAAAATCAAAGTAAAAAAACTATTATGTTCTATAATAACTGTTAAAATGTGAGTATGTATGGATATTCATTCACCCATAAATATTTTAGAAAGATAGAACAAAATAGCAGTTTTGGTAAGGGTGAATGGTGTAGAAGAGAAACTTTATTGAGTACTTTTGTGTATGGTTTCTTTTCTTTTTCTACTTTTTCCTTTGGTTTTTGAGCCACACTTGGTGTTGTTGAGGGTAACTTCCAGTGTATTGCCTGTTGGTTGTTCCCAGCAGTGCTCATGAAACCCTATGATGCCAGGGATCAAACTCAGATTACCCACATGCAAAGTATGCACATTGGTCTTTTAAGCCATCTCTTCAGCCTTCTCCCATTTGAGGTGAAGTGCTGAGGGATATACGTGACTCTGTGCTCAGGGATCAGTCCTGGCAGTGTGTGGCAGACCATATGTGGTGCCAGAAATACAACCATGCCACAAGCAAGGTATGTCTCTTAACCCTTGAATGGGCTCTCTACCCCAATCCTTTTCCTTGAGACTTATGAATGTATGCCTTTTCTGCCAACCCCATTAATTGACAAACTGTGTTTATTTTGTACATCATTAAATATTACAAGAACAACATCTGCCCTTCTAAGGTCATTCCATAAATACTTGAAGAACAATTTAATAGATGATTATTCTTTTTGTGGTAGCACAGCGGTAGGGCGTTTGCCTTACAAGCGGCCAACATGGCTGCTTCCATGAGTTCGATTCCTCTGTCCCTCTCGGAGATCCTGGCAAGCTACCAAGAGTAACTCGCCCACATGGCAGAGCCTGGCAAGCTACCCGTGATGTATTCGATATGCCAAACACAGTAACAACAGGTCTCATTATGGAGACATTACTGGGCCCGCTCGAGCAAATTGATGAACAACGGGAGGACCGTGACCATGACCGTGAGATAGAACCCAGGTCTCCTCCATGCAAAACATGCACTTTACCATACTTGTCCTTGACTAGGTATTTATTCAGAACAGTCCAGACACTTCTGAACTGTTAAAATCCTGACACTTATCAGCTCTGAAGAAAGCCCTGAGTGTGCTCCCAGATCTTTCCCAGATCTTTCCTCTGACCCTGAATTATCCTCTCCCTTAAAACATCCCAATTCCTTAGGTACTTACCAACAAAGGAAGATGTCAGTGAAGGTCTCTGCTGTGGTGAAAAGTGCAAATATAATCCAGTACATCATCCACTTGACCTGTTGAAACAGACAGAAACAGAGTCAGTAATGCCAGCTCATCTAAAACTGGTCGCCCAGTTTCATGAACGGGCAGAAACTGGGAAAGCCCAGGCAGGCAGCTTGTCACTGATCCTTTCTCCCTCCTCAATGTGTGTCCAGAGCCAGTTCAGACCTGGGCTGGAACAAATGACATCAATTCACAGTGGGAGGAAACCTCGCAGGGAGGCCTGCAGACCAGGAGGAACTTGGGATTTGGTCCAGTCCTTTATTTCAGGATGGGTAAGCAAACCCTCAAGCCCTCCACAGAGACAGTCCCTGGAATGCACCTGCATCCCACTATACTCTCTGAGATGGAATAATGGGCGTCCCCATTGAGAACCCTTTCCTAGGGACCAGGGATGTGGCTTAAGAGGTAGAGCACGTGCTTTGCATATGTGAGGTCCTGGGTTTGATCCTTGTCACCACACAATCCCAAGTAATACCAGGTGTGGCCCCCACAAGTATTAAAGTGACACACACACATACACACACACACATACACACACACACACACACACACACACACACATACACACACACCTCTTTTCTGAAAGAAAGCCCCAAGACCAACACAAAAATTGGGTATTATTTTCTAATCTTCTTTTCCACATTTCCATTTCCTCATTTCTCCTCCACAGCCGAAGCTTTCCTTACTTTCTCTTCATCACCTACAAGTCTGCTGCCTGCTTCCCCATCTCCTGACTTTCTCTCACCAACTATCCCATAAACAGCCCCACACTAATTTTCCAAGAGAAAGAATGCATCTGAGTCAAAAAGATAATACAGGGGTTAAAGCACTTGCCTTGCATGTGCCTGAGCATGGCCAAGAATGATCTTTGATCAGAGCCAAGTAGCCCCTGGAAGTAGCCCCTGAACACTGCTGTTTGTGGCCCAACACTCCAGTCCCCACACAAGAAAGATAAACACACTCAATTGCTCTCCCATTTAAGGTATTCCAGCATGCAAAATAAAATGCAAACTCCTAAGTATCTCCTGACTTCTGGAGTGATAAAAAAGTGTCTCTACTTGTCTTCCTATTCAATATAATACTGGAAGTCCTAGCTGATGCAATAAGACAAAAAGTATGGGGAAGGGCTGGAGCCATACTACAGTGCTTGCTTTATCTTGCCTGCAGTTGACCCAAGTTTGATCTCCAACACTTTGTAAGTTTTCCTGAGCCCCACCAAGAGTTATCTCTGAGCACAGAGCCATGAGTAATCCCAGAGCACCACTGGGTACAGAAAAAAATGTGGGGGGGGGGGAAGTCAAGAGAAAATTATTCTTGCATGTGGTATATTGTCACTCTAGACTTTAGAAAAGAATTGGGGGCAAAAACCTTCTGTAAGTAATGATAGCAAGATCATATAAGGTTAATATCATCAAATCAATTGTTAGGGGTCCAAGGATGTATCAGTGGTACAGCACCTGCTTTGCATGCATGAGGGGCATGAGTTTTACCCTCCTCGTTTCTCTACAATGTCAAATGTGATCCCCAACACTGCTGTTGTGATCCCCAGTGCCACAACAAGCGTGCAAGTTCTAGAGTACCAAAGCCATTATGTGTGAACAGCTCAATCAACTGAATGACCCTTGAGCAAGCACTGCAGCCAAGGGCGTGTGAGCACCACAACCAAGTACATGAGAGCTGCGACCGAATGTGCAATCCCTCACCCTCTCAAGGATAACAAGCTCCCAGGGAAGAGGGAGAAAAAAAACAACACAACAATCTGGAAATCAAATCTTCAAAAACAACACTGACATTAACCTCACCCCCAAATTAATTACTTAAAAATATTTGAAAAATATGGAAAGGTCTGAGAGGAAAATGATGAAACACTAATGAAAGAAATCATGGACAATCTGAATAAGCAGAGAGATAGTTCAAATTCATAGGTAGAGAACTCAGTACTGTAAAGATATTATTTCTTCCTGACTAGATGTATACATTCAAGGCAATCCAAGTCAAAATGTCACTAAGTTATTTTGTTGGCATTGATAAACTGATTCTAAAGTTTTTAGAAAGACCAAAGATACAGAACAGTTAGAGGACTGGCATAAGCTGCCTCAAGACTTACCATTACACCACAATAACCAAGACAGTGTAGTACTGGTGAAAGAATCAATAAAACAGATGACAAAATAAAAATCCTTGAAGTAAGCCCAATAACTATAGTCAACTAATCTTTGACATATGAACAAAAGCATAGGTCTTGGAAAAGAGAGCAGTGTTGGGACAACTGGCCATTCATATACAAAAATAAATTTAGGCAATCTTAAATCCTTTACAAAAATTAACTCAAAATGATAGATGTAGAATTATAATACAGAACTATAAATTAACCTAAATGATAGATGCAGAAGTATAATACTTCTAGAACATAACAAAGAAGAAAATCTAGGCACCTTTAGATTTGCAATTGTTTTTAAAACAAAACCAAGAAGGCAAGGGAGATGACTTTTTGACCTGGAGTACGTGTATTGTATGTAGGAGCCGTAGGTTCAATCCCACACACTGCATGGTCTCCCAAGGACTGCTGATGTGACCAACCTCACCACAAAGTAAAATGATAATAATAATAATAAGTGGGCTGAATAGACACCTCACTATGCAAGATATGCAACCATTCAGCAATTTATTGACAAAGCTTTGTTAGAAAAATTAGCTTTCCCTGTCATCAATTTAAAAAAATCATAAGAGATAAAAGGTGATTTCTGTATAGAACATATAAATATGTCAAGGAATCTATAGGAAAAGAATGATATAATGAGTAAAAAGATGGGAGACTTAAAGATAAGGAAACTTTTTTCCCCTTTTTTATTCTTCTTTCTTTTTGCCAAACCCAATGGTGCTCAGGGCTTACTCCTGGCTCTGCACTCAGGGGTCACTCCTGGTGGACTCAGGGGGCCAAAATTAGTGTCAGGGACTAAACGCAGATCAGCTTTATGCAAGCCAAGCACTCTGACAGAACTATTGCTCTGACTCCAGAAAACTTTTTTAAAAGAACTAAACATGGACCAGGTAGATGGTTCAATGGACTAATCCTAGAAGCCTTGATCCCCTGCATTACACAGTTCCCTGAGCACCCCTGGGAATAACCCCCAAAACACCATGCTGGGAATAGCACTGAAGCACAGTCAGGTATGGCCTTCAAACCTAAACAAACAACCAAATAAATGAACTAACCGTGGGGCCAGGCGATGACCCGGTGGCTCAAGTTCTGCTTCTGAGCATGAGGCCACAAGTTCAATACCTGGTGACAAGTGCATGTATTGCATGTGATGCTGGTAGCTCTGCTATCTGTGATCCCTGGTACCACAAGTGATTTCCAGCTGCAACCAGGTGTGTGCCACAAGTAAAAGATGAGACTCATAAACTTCAAAACAACTTACAAAGATGTGTGAGTAGTGCAGCTAGGAGTGCGATCCCTCAGTGAGCACGAGTGTGTGCACTACAACTAAAATGTATGAGCTTGGCAAGCACAAACAGAATGTGTTGTCAAACGATTAAAAAATGTACCTCCTGAAAATAACCACAAGGGTGTGGGGGATGGAGGGTAGTTAAGATAGACTAGGGTTCATTAGGACAATGTTAATTGGAAATGATCACTCTGGACAAGAACTGAGTATTAAAAGTAGGTAAAGGGATATACATGATAATCTTTCAGCATCTGTATTGCAAACTATAGTGCCTGAAATAAGAGAGAACGTGAAAGAGAGAGAGGGAGAGAGAAAGAGAAAAGTGAGGTGTATGCCATAGAGGCAGGCTGGGTTTCGGGGTGTTTTAGGGGGGTGGGGGGGGAAACTGAGGACATTGGTGCTGGGAAATTACACTGGTGGAAGGATGGGTATTTGAATATTGTATAACTGAAACCCAATCATGAACAGCTTTGTACTGCTCTATCTATCTCACAAGTGATTCAGTAAAATAAAAAATTGATTTTTTAAAAAAAAGAGTGTAACCTCCAGCAAGCACATGTACAAACATTGCAGCTAAAGGAGTGCAGCCCCAATGAGCAGTGCAGCTGAGTGTGTGCACACCACAACCACAAATAAGTATTGATTTCCAATCACTGCAACAACATCAAAGTAAGGCAGAGAAGGTGGAAAGTAGATATTAAAAAAAAGAAAATAATTTCATGGATGTGAATAATTTTAATTGATGCCACACATCAATTAAAAATTTTTTTTTGTTTTCCCCCCATATGAAATAAAGAAAAAGAAAAAATTTGCAGGGGGTGGGATGGATAAGCTGACAGCTGCCACCACATCAGCTCACCCACTGGCTCTGCTCTTCAGATCTACAAACTAAATCTCTGAGGAGGCGACGCAAGCCAAGCAGCTAAAATTCATGGACACATTGGTCCCCCTACTGAAAATCTTGGGATACTCTTGGGAGGGGAGTGGGCTGAGTCCCTGCCCCTTTGAAGCCTTGGCAGTGGCACCCATACTCACTGCTGCCACCATGCCAATGGCCCAATCCCACAGCTTCACTATGAACTTCTGCAGACTCATCCCAGTCCTACAGGTCCTGAAGTTTCTGGACCACACAGCCACATATGCAGTCACGCAACACCTCTATATTCCACAGAACTGAAATTCCAGTAGGAGTAACCAAACTAGATGGGAAAATAACATAGAAACCAACTCAACTCAACAAACAAAAACAATGACACAGAAGGCTCCAGCAATGAATAGCAACCAGCAATGGATATTAAATCCTCAAATACTTAATAACTCCATGGTGAAATATAGCAATTTTCACAAATTTACTATTACTGAAGTATTTTTGATAATTCTTTTAGCCAGTTGGTTGTAAGAAGTAATATATATAATAAACTATTGTGTTCCTGTTTTGTAGGTAATTGGGAAGATGGGGACAACGGTGGAGGGAAGGTCACTTGAGCGGTGGGATTGGTGTTGGAATATCAAAAGCCTTTAACAGTTATATTATGATCAAGTTTGTAAAGCATGTTGTGTAA